CTATATTCTATTACATCTTGTTTCCCTGGTGGCTCACAGCATCTGCCCCAACCCCACCTTTCTTCTCTGTATATCTCTTTTGGATTTTCTGCCTGGCTTTATCCTGTCTTGCCATAAGCCAAAACACCTTCTTTATTAACCAATCGTAGCAACACATATTCACAGAAAGACCATCCCACAGCATTTTCCCTTTTCTGTAATCAAAAAGGAAGGTTTTAACTTCAACATAGTAAAATTACATATAACAAAACAGTTATCAAGCCAGGCAGTGGTGGCACGTGCCTTTAATCCCAGCACTCAGGAGGCAGAGGCAGGCGGATCTTTGTGAGTTTGAGGCCAGCCTGGTCTACAGAGCGAGATCCAGGAAAGGCACAAAGCTACACAGAGAAACTCTGTCTCAAAAAACCAAAAAAAAAAAAAAAAAAAAAAAAAAAAAAAAAAAAAAAACCAAAAAACAAAAAAAAAAACCAGTTATCAAGCAAAAATTACAGTTACAATAGCTAGTCTCTTTGTATTTGCCAAACCTAAAGAAAGTATTCTATCATCTGTCTTATTTTTGTGAGTCTAAAGTTTTATATCTAATATACCTTTTGTCATAACTAAGAAAAACTATAATTATAATTATCTAGTCTTCAACTGAGGAAATGTGCTGGCTAACAACAGTTCTCACAAATGCATTCTTCAGCAAAATTAAGATCAGACCCTCCTTTCTTATACAGCCTTAGTGATATTTATACTAACATTATAGACTCCTAATTCTGTGTAGCTTTGGTGCTTTTCACAGAACTTGCTCTGTAGCCCAGGCTCACCTCAAACTCACAGAGATCTGCCTGTCTCTGCCCCCTGAGTGCTGGGATTAAAGGTGTGTGCCACCACTGCCCGGCCCAAATAGCTTTCAATAGCTCTGAATGATAGAACAGCTATAGAAGAGAGAACAAAAAATTCAGGAGAGGCTACAAAACAAATTTTGGCAAACTTCTACAAATGAACAAAGACAAAATTAAAAATATGAATAAATGACATTGTCATTGAAGGTCTTGTAGACACAGGTACAGCTGTAACTTTTGTGAGATTTTGATCCCTCCAGCCACTGACTTTTGGGGGTTATGAGTCCTAAGGAATGGTCTTCTCTGTGTACATGACAACTTAAGAACAAAGAGAGAAAGAGGTTACATGCTCTCTCATGCTCTCTCTTGGGGAGCTGGAGCCAGCAGTGAAGAGTGCCTTGAAATTGGTCCTCTATCCTGTAGATGTAATTCTAAATGGTCTTATTAAATAAGAAACACAGAGCAAAGTTAACAGCCCAGAAGATCAGAGCACTAGTGAAGCCTTTAGCTTACTAGTCACTGCCATCCTTCCTCTGAGAGAGATCTTCTCCTGTGTGACCCATCTTTTTATTGCTGTTCTGTTCTACCTTCTCATTGGCTTTAAACCCAACTACATGATTTTCTTATCACTGCCTGTCTACACAGACCTCCAGGTCTCTATGGTTCGTACTGAGATTAAAGGTTCTGGTCACTGCTTCGCTGTGTCCTTGAACACACAGAGATTCTGCCTGCCATGTGATCAGATTAAGGGTGTGTGCCACCACCACCAAAATTCTGCTAAATGGCTTGCTTTTAAATCTGGCCCCCAGGCAACTTTATTTATTAACATACAAATAAAATCACATTTCAGCACAAATAAAATATTACCATAATATCCTCTGGATAAAACAGCAGATAACAGAAGTTGCATCAGCAGTAGATCAGCAGCATGCCTACACTGCATTGTATTAGTGAGTCTAATTTTGCATTGCATCCCTTAATAAATTAATATGTATTTACACCTGTGTGGGCCTTCATAACACGTGGTGCCACAACGTGTGGGTGGGCCATTCCCACAGCCCCACTGGCCCTTTGAGAGCCCATCCATGCCCTACTCCGCTCTGCTCACAAGATTTCTTGAGTTTAACACTGTGCCTTTTGCAGAACTGGCTGGCAGCATCCATATTCCCATTTCCCTCCACTGCAAGCCTCCATGGCTGATGGTACACTCCCCAAGCCCTGTGCTGCCCTGCATTTCCAGGTCAGATCTCTAAGAGTGCCTGTCTGCCCTGTGCTCTGGCAAGCCCCATGCACTCTAGCCCCTCTTTTTTATTTAAAATTTGTTTCTATACATTTTAAATGGAAAGATCCATCACTTTCCCAATTTTTTTTTATCCTCCCTCCATTCCTTTCATATTGGTGGAATTATTAAGGCAACTCCACATAGTTAAAAGGTAGGTTTATTTTGTGGGGTAACTTACAAGTAATGGCATAGGTTACAGGGCAAGAAGAGGTGAAGTGCCGTCCAGCGGTGTTCTCTGGGGAGCTCTGCTTGATCTAACTCTAGCGTCCAGGATCCAGGAACCAAGAGAGCAGGCACATCTGCATCTCAGGTCTTAAGGGTTCCTGTCTCAGCCCCTCCTCATAGGCATGACAGTTACCAAAAGCCTCAATGGGGGTAGTACTTCCAGGTCAAAGTTGGAACAACTATCCACTACATCGGCCCATTTTGTCTAAATAAGAAAGTGTCCCCACCTGTCACTCGAGAGACCAGGGTTTGATTCCCCAAAGGGGAGCCAAGCAGCTGCAGGAGCCAGACAGAACCAAAAAAATCTTCAACTGCACTTTCCACATACTTCCATTCAACCTCTTCTTTGTTAAATATGTATGAACAAGTACACTGAATATATGATTACACCCTGCTGAATCTACTTTTGTTAGTTTGATGTATATGGTTTGAGGGCTGACCACATTGTACTGGATAAACTATTAAGGAACTCATCCCTGCCTGGGGCTAATTCTCTTACCTGAAGGAGAATTCCACTTTTTTTCAGGGGGGCGGGTTTCGAGATAGGGTTTCTCTGTGTAGTTTTGGTGCCTGTCCTGGATCTCGCTCTGCAGACCAGGATGGCCTCAAACTCACAGAGATCAAGAGCAGAAAACTTGGATTGAAAAATACCTTAGCATTTAAGAGTACTGAAGTGCTGTGTGATGTTATGTATGCTGTGAAAATGTGTTGATTTGATTGATTGATAAATAAAATGCTGATTGGTCAGTAGCCAGGCATGAAGTAGAGTATAGGTGGGACAAGCAGAGAGGAGAAGTCTGGGAAATGTAAGGCTGAGTCAGGAGACCAGCAAGTCACCTCAAGGAGAAACAAGATATAAGGATACTGGTAAGCCATGTGCCACATGGCAAGGTACAGATTTATAGAAATGGGTTAATTAAAGATAGAGGAACTAGATAACAAGAAACCTGCCATGACCATAAAGTTTATAAGTAATATATAAGTGTCTGAGTGGTTATTTTATAAATGGGCTGCGGGACTGCGGGGACTTGGCAGGACCTGGAGAGAAACTCTTCAGCTACAAATGACACCCAATGACTTGAATTTCCACCTGAAACCTTAAAATACTTATTAATTCTAAAAGGAGCCTAAAAGGAGCCGGACACATGTCTCATTTGAGTGGCAAGATGCCGCAACATGTGGGCTTCAGCTACTCTATGGCAGGTTTGTGGCATGTGTGCTTGATCTATTCCCATCAAATTACACAGAGGTTTCTATAAACCGTGCAACATGATGCATGGTGAATTTAGCCTTTGCTAGTACCAAAAAAAAAAAGAGGTTTCTGTGCTACACGCTGCTTTGATAGAAGCATAGACCCACTGCTTCTGAGAGTTGATGGCTCCCAGAGCTGGTGGTAAATGTACCACTGCCATGTTGAGAAGCTGAGGTGGGGGAAACCAGCAACCACAGCAGCCGTTTCGGTCTTAAAAATGCTACAGTTTAAAGCAATAGGTTCACAATATGGCAGATTCAGATGAAATAGTTTACATTGTGTGTAAAAATGTATGTAGGCTTGGAACAGAGACAAAAAGGAATATATGCAGTTATATAAAATAATAGATAGTTTTCAAAAATAAAGTCTTTTAAAAAAAAGTAAAAGTAACATAAAAAATAAGCCATGTAAAGATGGATATCACACAGAGATTCTGGATTGTGCTGTCTTTGGAATTTTTAACTGCAGAGAGACATTTGATTGTAAAGTCAGTTGAATTAAACCAATATGTATATTTTAAAGGTACCTTGACTTCAAAATTTGGATGTAAGGATATGTTGCTTTGGAAAGGAGGCTCTGCTTTTGTTTCCACAGAAATCAAGAGGCTATGGATTTGTTCTGGATTAAGATACATCAGGTTTGACCAGCCAAGACCCCCGACAGGTCTCCGATGACACCATGGCCCACATGATACAATATCCAGAATGGTTTCAAGGCAACTGGCTCAGACAAGACAGCCTCACAGACTACTCCATAATCCTAAAATTTTCTTTTTGTCCCCATAAGAATACAGTGCCTTCATCCAACAGGAAGTAGTATGAAAAGATATGCCCAAATTCCCAAACATATAAAGCTAGCTTTGGAGATGAAATTTGCTCACTTCTCTAAACCCAAGCATATTGCTAAAAAAAAAAAAGGTTGAGAGATTTTTCTGTCCCATATCAAAAAAGCCCTCTGGAGTGGGACAGAGAAAAACCAATATTTTTATTTAAAGCAGATTGATTATAAATTCAATCTCTTTCTAAAGAAAAAAGGGGGATAAGATATAGATATGATAGGATAAAAGGGTAAATTATTGAACCTACTTTTAAAGAGCAACAACTTGTTTAAAAAATGTTTTACATTGTTATAGATTTTAGTTTATTGATACAAATTTAAAGTTAATTTTGTTTTACTGTATGTATATTTCTACTCTTGTTTGAGGTATTATGTTTGTGTAACTCATTTAGATTGTAATGGATAATTAAAAATACAGATTAATAATTAGTCTTCTATGATGGTCAAACTTATAGTCAAGTTAAGTTTTCTAGGTATATATAGATATAATTCAATTAGGTAGGTAATCTTCAAACACTTCAAAGACCTACAGAATATGACATTTAAAATATTTTAAAAATTTAAACTTTCTGGACAGTGAGACATGTCTGCTCCTGGCAGCACCAATTTACTTCAGAGAGGAGGATGAGCATTGAAGATACTTCGTATGGAGTTTATCTTCTTCTTGGAAAAATAGCCGTTTGGGTAAGAAACTGTTCTTGACTGGACTGCTTGAAAAAATGTATCAACTGGACATGCAAGACCCATAGGAAGGTGGCCACTGAACTTTGCTTGGCAAAATGGTCCTTCCTTCAGGTTCCTGCTATGCAGAGGAAACTGCCAGACATTCTACAGGATACAGAGCGAAGTGACTGAGAGAATCTAGGCCTGTGGGCTGAAGACAGAAGCCCCAACTTTACAGAAGAACTTTGGATGACTGTCTAGGCTGCCAGTTTTCTCTGTCTACTCTCGCAAGACTCCCAAAAGTTGCTTGTGTCCTTCTACCATTTCTCAGGTAATATTATATCCTTCTGAGATCTTTGATGTGGTTGAAGACTAGATAGCTATAATTTTCCTTAGTTATGATAAAAGATAAGTTAGATATGAAACCTTAGATTCACAAATATAGGATAGATTAGATATCTTCTTTAATTTTGCCAAATACAAATAGACTAGATATTATAAATAGAGTAGATATTGTAACTATAATTCTTGCTTGATAATTGTTTTGTTATATGTAATTTTACTATGTTAAAGTTAAAAACCTTTGTTTTTGAAAAAAAAGAAAAGGGGAAGTACTGTGGGATGTTCTATATGCTGTGAAAATGTGTTGCTTTGATTGATAAATAAAACGCTGATTGGCCAGTAGCCAGGCAGGAAGTATACTATAGGTGGGACAAGCAGAGAGGAGAAGTCTAGGAAGTGTTAGGTTGAGTCAGGAGACGCGGCCAGTCACCTCAAGGAGAAAGAAGATGTAAGGATACTGGTAAGCCATGTGCCACATGGCAAGGTACAGACTTATAGAAATGGGTTAATTAAAGATAGAGGAAATAGATAACAACAAGCCTACCATGGCCATACAGTTTATAAGTAATATAAGCATCTGAGTGGTTATTTTATAAATGGGCTGCGGAACTGCGGGGGCTTGGCGGGACCTGGAGAGAAACTCTCCAGCTACACTGAAGATTCTTTCAGAGAACCCAGATTCCATTTCCACTACATATAGGAGCTCACTACTATCTGAAATTGCAGTTCCAAGGGTTCTGAAACCATCTCCTGGCCTCCCTGGTCACTAAGCATGAATGGATTACAAAGACATGCATGCAAGAAAAACACCATGAACATAAAATAATGACTGGAATTAGATTTGTAAAAAACAAATAAAATAAAAAAGCAACAACAACAAAAAACATAAAAGACAACTTGCACCATAAAACTTAATTTTCAAAGTATATGTGGTAGTGTATTCTTACAATATCAACACTCCAGACACAAAGGCAGGAAGATCATTGTGAGTTTTAAAGCATGTGCTACATAATCAATGCCCGAACACACATGCTTGTGCTCATTGGAAAAAAAGAACAAAACTAAATAACATACAAAAATGGAGCATTGGAAAATTGTGACAACACAATACCTCTTAAAGTCATTTCATGTGTCTGCCACTTGTACTCATACAATAAATATTGTCAAGCATGGTAGCAAATGCCATTATACCCAGCTATAGGAAGGAAAAGGCAGGTAGATAACAATTTGACAATATGCTCTTTGATATAGTCACTTCCAAAGTAATGCCCATCTTAAAAAGACCTAATTTTGATTTGTTCTCCTGGTTTAAGACAGGGCCTTATTTATAATCCCACATGACCTTGATTCAAAATATACCACACTACATAATACATATTATGTCTTTAATAAATACTAATATATACTTAATTCTTAAATGTGTCTCTCCCTCATAAGACCACACTTTCCCAACATCCTTTATTTCTACTAACATTTATACGAAATTCACAATAAACATGTATTTTTTTTTTTAGTCAGGCGTGGTGGCAATGGTACATACCATTACTCCAAGATTTGAGAGGCAGTTGTAGCTCTGTAAACTCCAGGCCTAGATTACGTAATTCATAGTGAATTCTAGGCCAGACAGGTTTAGAAAATGAGACTGTGTCCCAATCCAAAAGTCTTAACTTAATAAAGTTCTAGGGTGAGAAGATGGGTTAGCAGATAAAGTCCTCACCTTGGAAGTAAGAACCTGAGTTATCCCTTTACATCTGCATTAGAAAGCCAGTTGCAATGGTGTGTGCTTATAATTCAATGCTTTTAAGGCAAGATAGGAGACAGAGAGGAGAAAGCCTGCAAGGATATGGGTATATGATATAAATCTAGAGAATGTCTCAAACATGATGAAGGGAAAGGACCAACAACCAAGGTAGTTCTCTGATTTTTACACCCATACTACAACACCCATGCATACCTTCCCATACATAAATGAGCACAAACATACAGTCATAAGTAAATTATTAATAAAATACAAGTGGATGAAGTGGCACACTCTTTTTATTCTAATATTTGGGAAGCAGAGGTAGGAAGATTTCTATGAGTTTGAGGCCAGCCTCATCTACATTTTGAGTTCCTGGAAAGCCAAAGATACATAGACAGACCCTATCTCAAAATAAATAAAATTCCAACTGTGATTTGTATTGACTCATGCTGATTATACCTGCCTGCGAAAAAGCATATTTGAGAAAACCCTCCTAGAAGTGGAAAGGAATCCCTTTTGATACTAAAAAATTGAGTTTTCTCTCAACAGTGTTGAGGAAGTGGCAGAACACTGGTGGTGAATCTAGCCTCAAGCAGAGTACACATGACTCAATGGAAAGTGTGCCTGTGCAAGCCATAGAACGGAGAGGGGACATGAGAGTTGAGGCTAATCCTTTGTTCTTTTTCCATGGTAAATCTTAGACTATACTGAGGAAGAGTTTCTTCATGATGACTGCATTATTCTTTTTCAGTTCCCCCTGTGGTACAGGTCATAGTAAAATATTATAAGAACTCAGCTGGTTATAGCAAAGCCACTACCTGAAGGGATCAAGGAATTCCTTCAGAAGAAGTTAAATTCCAAGGAGCTTTTGGTGTTATTTGGCTTGTTATATATCAGCTGTCTTCTGTTATGAAAATCATGTGTGCCTTCATAGTTTTCCCAAATGATTTTTCCCTAAGAAGTGCTAACAGTGTGGACTGATCACTCTCTGGACATATACATTCAAGGTATTTGGAGAATAGCTTCAGGAAAGGCTTCCTTCCCCCCAGTCCATCCATTTCTCTCCTTTCAGCACTGGAATCAGTTATCTCCCTTAGCCACTTTCAAGGAGTAACAGAAATAACAAGTCCAGACCACCACATGCTAGTCTCCTCATTTAAGGTAGATTCCACAAGGAGACACTGCCTAGGCCAGGTGAACCTTAAATAATAGCTTTACACAATTTAGCTCGGACCCTCCTTCCTTATAGCCTTACTAACTTTATAGACCCCTAACTTCTTACCTAACCATTTTTCAGGACGTACACTGAGCACATAGATCCCCTTTTTGATATACTAACCAGTCATTAACACTTAGTTGACCTCTTTTACCACTCCCATTTTGGATTGTAAAAGAAAGCCTGGTGGTCACTGCCTGAGGGAAATTCTGACCTATCTTTATGACCCCATAGAATTCAAGCCTTATGACCTTCTTCTACCAGGGGATTGCTGTTGCTTTGGGAGAAATATGGAGAACTTAGAGATGGAGAATGGAGAGAGAGAAGGAGGATTTTGATTAAAGAGAATGTGTGGATGAGATAGATGGAAGATGAGGAAGAGTCAGATGGGGAAGTACTAGCTGGGTAAGAACAAGATGAAAAGGACCTAGATGAGGCAGAATCAAGACAAAAGAATTAAGATAGAACTTAGAGGAAGCAGTAGATAAATATAGAGAGAAATCAGGCAAGAAAGGAGCTAGGCACAAGAACAGAACTGAAGCTGTGTAAATAGGATGATGTTATCTCAGAGGAATTAAAGCAAATAGGCTCAGTGTGCTGAGATTCTACTTCCCCAAAATAGTCCTCGCCGTTCATAATTTTTTCTCCTAAGGCCCTGGGACGTATAATATTAAGGCTGGTCTCTGATATATTATACAAGACCCATGAACAAATCTGACTTCTGAGATTGGAGGTGAGTCAGAGAGTAAATTTTTTGGGGAAATGACACCATGGGTCCTGAGACAGGTACTGACACAGCAGGGCTTTTTAGAGCTCAGCAGCCAGAGAAGCAGGGCAAAGGTTTTTTTCTGGTCTTTGTTTTTGGTCATCCCAGTGAACTGTCACCTTTCTCTGAGTTGGCTCTAATGCAGACAAGGCATGGGCCTCTGTAGATGCACAAGAAACTGTTTGAGACTCGGTGTGATCTAAGTTTGTCAGTTAGAATATTTGATTTCTTTGTCTATCCTCATATCCTGAGGATGGAGAATAGGCTAGTTTTGCCTTACTCACCTGTGGGTCCTGAGCACAGTGTGTGACTGGTTTGTAATGTTTTCAATTAGTAGGTTACCCAGACCTCTCATGTGGATAATGGTGGATGTAGCTAGCAGTTGACAGATAACCATGTTTCTAGAAGTCAGCTGAAGTGGCTAATGATTGCAGAGTGATAATTGCCACCTCCTCTTTGCCCTTTCCTGCTTAAGCCCCACTTAGTTTTGAATATATCCTGACAGCTTTTCTCAAGTGCCTCAATCGACTTATTTTTGTTTGTAAAATTGACTTATTTTATAGGGCTTGTACATAGATTGGTAGTAGAGTAATTGCCTTGCATTTATAAGGTCTTTGGTTTTTATGGTAATATTTTATTTGTACTGAAATGTGATTTTATTTGTATGTTAATAAATAAAGTTGCCTGGGGGTCAGAACTAATAGCAAGCCGTAGCAGAATTCTGGCAGTGGTAGCACCCGCTCTTAATCCTGATCACATGACAGGCAGATCTCTGTGTGTTCAAGGATACCACCAGCATGGAGACACACACCTTTAATCTCAATACCAACCATAGAAGATCTGGAGGTCTGTATAGATGGGCAGTGATGAGGAGGTTATGTGGTTGGGTTTACAACCAATGAGAAGGCAGAACAAAAAGTCTATAAGAAGACAGACACACAGAAAGTAGTTCTCTGGCTGAGGAGGACAGCAGCAGCAGTGAAGGGTAAGGTTTTTAGCTCTTAGTTATTGCTCTGACCTCTTGGGCTTTTTAACTCTGAAATCAGCTCTGTGTTTCTCATTTTAAAAGACGGTTACATCTACAGGTTTTATCTTAAGGCCAAAAAATAAAAGACAGGAATAAATGAAGAATCCAAATACATCTGGGGTGTAGCACACAAGCAACAAACTTTTCAGCCCTCTTGCCATCTGGTCTCCAGACATTCCTGAACTTTCTCCATAGACTCTATTGCCATAGTTGAGTGTTAATTTCCAGTGAGATTAATGGTCATGCTTTTAGTGAAGAGGCTGCTATTTCTGAATAAAGCACTGCTGTGAGATGTCTTTCTCTACACTATGAATATCTGTTGCTCTGATTGGTTGATAAATAAAGCTGCATTGGCCTATGGCAAGGCAGCTTAGAGCCAGGTGAAAATCCAAGCAGATAGAGAAGGGAGAGGCAGAGAGACGCCAGCCTGCTGTCCAAGGAACAACATGCCAGCAGACCAGTAAGCCATGGAACACATGGTAAAATATAGATTAATAGAAATGGGTTAATTTAAGATGTAAGAGCTAGCAAGAAGCTTGAGCCATAGGCCATGGCTATGCAATTTGTAATTGATATAAGCCTCTCTGTGTGTTTACTTGGTTCTGAGCAGGCAGCTGCCTCTGTCATTTCCAGAATTTTGGAAGTTGCTTACAATGCATTTCCTGTTTACTTAGGTGATATTATATCCTTATGAGGTCTTTGATGTAGTTGAAGACTAGATAGTTATAATTTTTTTTGGTTATGATAAAAGATAAATTAGATATAAAAACTTCAACTCACAAATATAGAATAGCATATTTTTTTTAATTTTGCCAAGTACAAATTGACTAGATATTGTAACTGTAATTATTGCTTGATAACTGTTCTATTTTATCTAATTTTACTATGTTAAAGTTAAAACCTTCCATTTTGATTAGACAGAAAGGGGGAAGTGCTGTGGGATGTCTTACTATACACTGGGAATATGTGTTGCTCTGATTGGTTGATAAATAAAGCTGTATTGGCCTATGGCAAGGCAGCTTAGAGGTAGGATAAAATCCGCAGATAGACAGGAAGAGAATGGAGAGGCAGAGAGAAGCCATTCTGCCACCCAGGGAGCAGCATGTAATGGCACAAAGGTAAAGCCTTGGAATGTGTGCCAACATGTAGATTAATAGAAATGGAATGAGTTTAGTTATAAGAGCTAGCTAGCAAGAAGCTTGAGCCATAGGCCATGGCCATAAGTTTGTAAATAATATTAAGCCTCTGAGTGATTATTTCATAAGCAGCTGGGGGCCACAGGTGGGAGAGATTTGTCTTGACCCCAGGGCTGGGCAGGACCAGAGAAAACTTGAGCTGGAAAGCACAGATATTAAACATAAATATATAATATATCAAAATTTTGTGGATCTGGAGAAATAGCTCAGAAGTTAAGAGTGATCACTGGTCTTCCAAGGAGACACAGGTTCTGCTAAATAACCCAGGTATGGTTAGCTCACAACCTCTTATACTCCAGTTCCAGGGGATCCAACTTCATCTTCTGGTTTTCAAGTGTACCCCTACACAGATGACATTCACTCACACAGGGAACAACAGAGCTGGGGGGAGGAGGCAAGAATAAAAATAATTTTGTGGTAGTTTCAAGTTGAACTGTTTCCTTCATGTGTTTGTTTTTTTCCCCCTTGGGTTTCTTTAGTTTCTTTAAGAGTTTTCTTGATTTCCTCCTTTTTTTTTTGTCTTTTTTCCCATTCTTTTAAATAAATTTTTCATTTCTTTTAGGGTATCTATCATCTTCATAATGTTGTTTTTAGGACCTCTTCCAGCTCATCTTCTTTGAGCTGTTCAGGTCTTGCTGTTTATGAATCACTAGGTTCTAGTGTACCTTATTGATCTTTATGTTGTTTAATATGTTTTTACACTGCTGTCTACCCATTTCTTCCTTTAATCTGTACAGGTGCAACTCCAGGTAACTCTTCCAATTGGTGCAGGAGGGGCATATGGCTCCAGTGGCCTCTGGTGCTACCCAGGATGGTTGCTGAGGGGGTTGGTGGGAAGGGGGATGCTGCCCAGTCCCTGGGGCTGCACTGGCTGGGGGATGGGTCATGGAATGTGCCACCAGGGTCTAGGTGCTAGATAACTGGGCCTTGTAGTCCAGCAATTGGGGTCTTACCTCTTCCCCAATCAGTGAATGGAAGTGGGTCACATGTCTCCAATGAAATGTGGTTCCATAGGGGTAGGGGGAAGAGGCTGCTGCCCTTTCTCTGGGGCTATACTGGCTAGGGCTTAGGGCTAGAGAACTGTGCTTACCAGTCCAGAGATTGGGCTTTACCTGTTCCTAATTGATGCAGGGGGGCATATGACTCCAGTGATCATTGGTGCTGCTAGGGATGGGTGAGAGAAGGGCTGCCGGTATAGGCTGTATAGGCTTAGATGCTGCAGAAAGCATTTCCTCTCTCTTTCCATCCCTTTCCTTCACTTTACATCTATTCTTGTGCCTCTCCCTGACAGCAGAGGCAGAGGAAATAACAGTCATGGATGGAAACAAGGCAAAAGATAAGTTGGTGTTACATTGTTTCTGGTAGTGTTTATTGTGGGCCTCAGTAGAGGATGACTTTAGGCCAGCAATTATAGTCAACAAAATGGGCATAACAAACAATTAGAGGGTTACTCCTGAGGCCACTTCCCTTTTTCTGGCCAGGAACAGAATTTTTATCCACAGATCAGGTTTCCACATGTTCTCTGAAAAGATCTATGGAACAAGCACTACCAACTACTCATCCAGCTCTCCAGGCATCACAACCCACAAGCACATGCATGCATTCACAAACATATACATACATATATACAACTAAAAATTCTCAGATGGTGGCTGTTGTTTCCTGAGGGACCAGCCCTTATATTGAAACACTAGGCAAGCCTGAACAAAAGTATATGTCACCCTACCGTGCAGACAGACTCACAACAAGACAAACAGAAAGAAGAAAGTGGGGGTCCCAGCATTTACCTGCTGAAGGGACCGAATTTACACAACGTAGAGGGGCCTATTCACCGAAATATACCGCTCAAGGGGGCTTCTCAACCAGCGCCACACATGAGTAAAGGGAGACAAACAGACCAAATGTCCCGAGTTTTGGCACCGGATGTAGCAGGGTCCTTTGCTGTTGTTCCCTTTAGGGGTGGGGGCCAAGTAGGCGCAGAATCAAACCACACAGACTCTGGGAGAATGTCAAAATAACAAGCTCAGTTTATTCAGGAAGAGGCAAGCCTTATATACCCTCCACCCCACTCTGGGGGGAGGTCTGATGAATATACATCAGCTGGTGTGACATGGCTGCCTCTCATTGGTCCAGCTCATCTCCAGATCATGTTTCAGCTGCTGTTGCTAAGACTATCAGGCAGTTTTTTTGGCTCTGGTTTCAGGGCCAAAGTGTGTGTATTTCACTGGCTCTATTTTCAGGGTATGTTTCTCTGGCTGGACAATTTACCCTACACATAGGGCTTCACATAGTTATAAAATCACTTTTTCATGAGATTGCTGGTGCACACAATGTAAAGATGGCGATCAATCTGTTATTGTTGACACTGTCGAATTTTTTTTCTATAGAATACTCTCAGGAAACTGATTATAATTGTGTTGTCTAATGAACTTACCAAATACTTTATATTAAGAAGTTCTTTCTCGCCACGCCAACCAACCCCAATGACACCATGGACCTCCTAAGTCATATGCTCCCCTGTACCGATGAGGAACAGGTAAGGCTCAATCTCCAGACTGGTCAGCACAGTTCTCTAGCCCCTCCCCCTACCGGGGCAGCCCAAAAGAAAGAACAGCAGCCTCCTTCCCCACCAACCATCCCCATTGGCAGCCGTGTCCACAAGAGCCATAGGACCCCCTTCCATGTACCAGTTGGGGAAGAGGTAAGACCCAGATTGTTGGACTGGACAGCTTAGTTCTCTAGCCTTTAGGACCCATGGGTACATTCCTTGCCCCACCCAAGTCAGTGCATTCCCAGAGACCTGGTAGCAGCCCTTTTCCCCCACCCCATTACCAAGGATCCCCTGGGGCACCAGTGACCACCAGAGCCATATGCCCCTCCTGCACTAATTGGGAAGAAGAGCAACCACAGGAGCCACAGCCCCCCCCCCCCCCCGCACCAATTGGAAGAAGAGTGACCTGGAGTACCACCTGTATGGGTCAAAGGAAGAAATGGATAGACAGCAGTGTAAGAACACGATAAAAAGGTAAAGAGCAATACGCTACCACCAGAACCTAGTGATCCTTCAACAGCAAGACCTGAACCTCCCAAAGCAGATGATCCAGAAATAAGAGACCTTAAAAACAAGTTTATGTAGATGATAGAGGCCTTGAAAGAAGAAATAAAAATTTTCTTAAAAGAATAGAGGAAAAGACAAACAAAAATTTGGAGGAAAACAAGAACTCTCTTAAAGAAACTCAAGAAACTGAAGAAAAAACAATCAACATGTGAAGGAAACAGTTCAAGACTTCAAATTGAAATAGAGGCAATAAACAAAAACTGAAGGAATTGTGGAAAACAAAAATCTGAGTAAACAAACAGAAACTACAGATGCAAGCTTAATCGAGAGAATATGAGAAATGGAAAAAAAAAGTCGGGCGGTGGTGGCGCACGCCTTTAATCCCAGCACTTGGGAGGCAGAGCCAGGCGGATCTCTGTGAGTTCCAGGCCAGCCTGGGCTACCAAGTGAGTTCCAGGAAAGGCACAAAGCTACACAGAGAAACCCTGTCTCAAAAAACCAAAAAAAAAAAAAAAAAAAAAAAAAATAAGAAATATCAGAGAGAATCTTAGGTAATGAGAATAAGATGGAACAGATTCATCCATCAAAGAAAATGTTAAATCCACCAAATTTTTAACAAAAACCATCCAGGAAATTTGGGACACCATAGAAAGACCAACCATAAGAATAATAGGGATAGAAGAAGGAGAAGAATTCCAGCTCAAAGGCACAGAAAACATTCAACAAACTCATTGAAGAAAACTTTCCCAACATAAAGAAAACTATGCCTTTGATGGGACAAGAAACATACATAACACCAAATAGACTAGATCACAAAAAATGTCCACATGCCACATAATACTCAAAACACTAAACATACAGAATAAAGAAAGAATATTAAGAGCAGCAACGGAAAAAGATCAAGTAACATGTAATGGCAGACCTGTCAGAATTACACCTGACTTCTCAATGGAAACTGTCAAAGCCAAAAGTTCTTTCACAGATGTTCTGCAGACACTATGAGAACATGGATGCTAGCACAGACTACTATACCCAGCAAAGCTTTCAATCACCATAGATGGAGAACATAAGACATTCCATGACAAAGCCAGATTTAAACATTACATATCCACAAATCCAGCCCTACTGAAAGTACTAGAAGGAAAACTCCAACCCAAGGAAGTTAGCAGCAACCCCAAAATCACAGGCAATAGATAAACTCATGCTAGCAAATCCCAAAGAAGGGAAACACACACATACACTACAACCAAAAAAATAACATGAATTAACAATCACTGGTCACTAATATCCCTTTATATCAATGAATTAATTTTCCCTAAAAAAGACACAGGCTAATAGAATGGTTACAAAAACAGGATCCATCCTTCTGCTGCAAACAAGAAACATACCTCAACTTCAAAACAGACATTACCTCAGAGTAAAGATTTTCCAATCAAATGGTCCTAAGAAAGAAGCTGGTGTAGCTATTCTAATATCTAATAAAATAGATTTCAAACTGAAGTCAATCAAAAGGGATGGAGAAGGGCATTTCATTTTTATCACAGGAAAAATCCATCAAGATGAAGTCTCAATTCTGAACATTTATGCCCAAAATATAAGGGCACCTACATTTGTAAAAGAAACATTACTAAAGCTTAAATCACATGTTAAAAACCATACATGTTAATACTGGGATACTTAAACAACTCTCTCTCCACTGGACAGGTCTGCGAGACAGAAATATAACAGAGATATAAGGGAACTAACAGATGTTGGCTCAAACAGATTGATCAGACATCTGTAGAACATTTCACTGAAACACAAAAAATATACATTCTTTTCAACATCCCATGGAACTTTCTCCAAAACTGGCCACACAGTCAATAGCCAAAGAAATCTCAACATAAACAAAAAAATTGGAATAAACCCCTGTATCTTATCGGACTATGATGGATTAAAGTCAGAATTCAACAACACAAAATGCAGAAAACCTACAAACTCATGGAAGCTGAAAAATCCTCAAATGAATTATCACTAGGTCAAGGAAGAAATAAATAAAGAAATTAAATATTTCCCAGAATTCATCAGAGGTAAATTCACAACATACCCAAACTTATGGGACACTATGAAAGCAGTGTTAAGAGGAAAGTATATACCACTAAGTGTCTACATAAAGAAGTTGGAGAAACCTCACACAAGTGACATAAAGGCACAGTTCAGTTGAAGAGAAGAAGGAAGGATTATAGGAGCAAGGGGGGTTATATAGATGTAACCAACCTTCTTATTAAATAAGAAGCACAGAACCAATGCAAAGAAGAAAGCCAAGAGGTCAGAGCTAAGAGCTAAAACCTTACCCTTCCTCCTGTGGTGGTCCTACCTCTCTGAACCAGAGCTACTTTCTGTGTTAAAGTCCTTATATAGAATTTCTGTTCTGCCTTCTCATTGGTTGTAAACCCAACCACATGACTGCCTCATCATGGCCTGTCTGTATAGACCTCCAGGTTTTCCATGATTGGTATTGAGATTAAAGGCATGTGTATCCAATGCTGGCTGTATCCCTGAACACACAGAGACTTACCTAGCTCTGCCTACCAAGTGCTGGGATTACAAGCATATGCCACCATTGCCCTGCTTTCCTATGGCTTGCTAATAGCTCTGACCCCAGGCAACTTTATTTATTAACATACAAATAGCATTTTAATACAAATAAAATATCACCATAGGGTTCAGCATCATGATGGGAAAAAACGACAGATAGTTGAACCCAACTAGCAGGAGCTCATGGACTCTGGACTGGCAGCTGGGGAGCCTGCATGGGACTGCCCTACATCATCTAAATATGGGTGCCAGTTATGTGGCTTGGTATGTTTCTGCGTCCACTGTCAATGTGACCAGGACTTATCCTGGGTACATGAACTGGCTTTTTAGAGCCCATTCTCTATGGTGGGATACCTTATTCAACTCTGATGCAGGATGGGAGGGCTAGGTCAAGCACCAACTTGGTAAGCCATCCTGTGTTGACTACCTAAGAGAGGCCTTACCCGCTATGAGAAAGGGATGGGTGTGGGATAAGGGGAGGTGGGGCAGGGGGAAGAGGAGAGAGAGGGGGAACAGGGCTTGGTATATAAAAGGAAAGAAAAATTTTTTAATTAAAAATATAAAGAGAAAGCCTCAGTAGCTTTTTCACATGGTCACAGACTATTACAATATATAAAGGCTTAAACAGATAGATTGCACACAAAAAGTTTTACTAATGTATAAAGTGCTAAACTTTACCACACTGACTGGAGGGTTTCTCTGCAACTTGATTTTTTCTCATGATTTTGAAGATTCCTGATACATGCAAAGGCTTTAACAGATTACATTCAAAGGCTTTCTCTCCAATGTGTACTATTTTAAGCATTTGAAGAGTACTATGACATAGAAAGGATTTACCACACTGACTACATACAAAGGGTTTCTCTGCGGTAAAGGATCTTTCATGTTTTCAGTGACTACTGTCACATAAAAAAGCTTGACTGCACTGATTTCATTCATAGATTTCCTCTCCACTAAGTGTTCTTTTATGCCTGTGAAGACTACTGTGACATTTAAAGGCTTTACTACATTGATTACAAACACAGGGCTTCTTTCCAGTATGTTCTTTTATGCATTTGAAGAGTATTGAGACATGCAAAGGCTTACCAACAATCATTACATTCATTGGGTATCTCTCCAGTATGGGTCCTTTTATGCCTTTGAAGAGTACTGTGGTGCACAAAGGCTTTACCCCACTGATTGCATTAATAGGGTTTCTCCCCAGTATGTGCCCTTTTATGGCATTGAAGAAGATTGTAATATGCAAAGGCTTTACCACACTGCTTACATTCATAGGCTTTCTCCCCAGTATGTGTTCTTTTATGACTTTGAAGATTACTGTGTTGTGCAAAGGCTTTACCACAATCATTATATTCACAGGGTTTCTCTCCAGTATGAATTATTTTATGCATATGAAGAGTACTGTGGCATTCAAAGGCTTTACCACACTGATTGCATACATAGGGTTTCTTCCCAGTATGTGTTCCTTTATGGCATTGAAGAATACTGTGATATGTAAAGGATTAACAACACTGATTACATTCATAGGGTTTCTCGCCAGTATGTGTTCTTTTATGACATTGAAGTGTTGTGACATTCAAAGGCTTTACCAAATGGATTGCATACATAGGGTTTCTCTCCAATGTGGGTTCTTTCGTGTATTTGAAGACTATTGTGATCTGCAAAGCCTTTACCACACTGATTACAGTATGGGCTCTTTCATGTATTTGGAGACTATAGTGATCTGTAAAGGCTTTACAACACTGAAAACATTCACAGAATTTCTCTACAGTGTGTTTTTCTGTGCCTTTTAAGACAACTATAATCTGCAAAGGCTTTACCACATTGCTTACATTCATAAGGTTTCTCTCCAGTATGTGTTCTTTTATGCACTTGAAGAATACTATGTTGTGCAAAGACTTTACTACACTGAGTGCATTCATAGGGTTTCTCTCCAGTATGTGTTCTTTTATGCATTTCAAGACTTTTGGGCCATACAAAGGTTTTACCACATTGAGTGCATTCATAGGGTTTCTCCCCAGTGTGCGTTCTTTTATGCATTTGAAGACTTTTTTGCCATGCAAAAGCTCTACCACATTGAGCACATTCATAGGGTTTCTCTCCGGTATGGGCTTTTTTATGTCTTTGAAGATGACAGTATTGTGCAAAGGCTTTACCACATTGATTACATCCATAGGGTTTCTCTCCAGTATGTGTTCCTTTATGGCTTTGAAGACGACTGTAATATGCAAAGGCTTTACCACACTGATTACATTCATATGATTTCTCTCCAGTGTGGGTCATTTTATGTATTCCAAGACAACTGTGATCAGCAAACGTTTTACCACACTGATTACATTCATAAGGTTTCTCTCCAGTGTGTGTTCTTTTATGTCTTTGAAGATGACTGTATTGTGCAAAGGCTTTACCACATTGACTACATCCATAGGGTTTCTCTCCAGTGTGTGTTCTTTCATGCAGTTGAAGACTTCTGTGCCATCGAAAGGCTTTACCACATTGACTGCATTCATAGGGTTTCTCTCCAGTGTGTGTTCTTTTATGAATTTGAAGATGACCATAATATGCAAAGGCTTTAACACATTGATTGCATTTATGAGGCTTCTCTCTAGTATTTGGTCTTTCATGCAGTTGAATAGTACTGGGATATACAAAGGCATTTACACCTTGAGCATGTACAGAAGGTCTCTCTACAGTTTGACTTCTTTCTTGCCTACAAGGATAAAGAAACATGTGAAATCTTTACAACAAACAATACATTGTTGAATCTTTATATCTGTATGAATTAATTTTACAATTTGATCTAATTGTGAAGAGGAATTAGATTATAAGGTTTTATCACTGTGCTTACACTCATGTTGTGCCCCTCCATTAAGAGTTGTTTTGCATCTTTGATGGTAAGATCCTTTATTACAAGATCCATATTTACAGAATCTTTTTTGTATATGAGATTTTTCACATATGTGAAGAAAACTGGAAAAACTCAGAGCTTTACCATCCTTACTGTATTCATCAATTTTCCTGTAAGTCATACTACATTTGCTAGGTGAACTAGGACAAACAAAAGTATTCACATAGTCCAAGTATTCACAGGAATTTTGTGTGGTGTTTGATGATGTATTAACAAAAAAAACTGAAAAACCAATTACTTGTATATTTGAATCAAGTAAAACAAGTGTACACAAACTGGGAACTGCTACATATCTTCTAATTGTTCTGAGAGAGATGTATGTTATGTCTTTCCATATTCCTATGCTCATGGCTGGTATCCAGAGTGACCATATGATATATCTATCAAAGGAAGAAACAAATAAAAGATTTTCACATTGAAATCAGCTTGACATTCTCTCCCCATAAACTTGTGGAACAGGGATTAAGTTTTCTCCACAACAACTGCCCCTTGACTCTTGACCCTTACTGCCACTGTCACTAAACAGCACAGTCACAACAAGTATATGAGTAATGCCAGCTTTACTATGGATTGTTTCCTTATAGAAGGTTTTGAAGATATACTTATCACATCTTCAATGTGTACACATTTGTAATATGAATGTTATGAAATAAATGAACTGACAGTTCTACAGCATAACTCTAATGTTGTTATGATTCAAATTGTGATATCAGTTAAGACATTGTTTCCTTGACTTCTTTCTTAAAAGAATGCCTTGCAAATGCAATTCACCTACCTAAAATTGAGGTTTGCAGTTTTGTAAGAATGTAACAATTATTGACGCACTTTTAATGGTGCTGATTTACACTGTTGCTTTTATTTAAAATATAAAAACAGGATATATTACAACTTCTTTATGGGAACATTTGCATCAGGTTGCACATGAAAATTACCTTTCATGTCTTCTAGAACTTTGACAATTTTCTTTAATATTATGGTCTTCCCAAGTGTATCCTAAAATATAATACCAGAAAATGTATGTTATATAATTGAAAATTGTGCAAAATTTTAGTTACTATCCTCATTGAACCTTAGAATCATGCCAGATTTATTCAGCTCTTTCTTCTCCTTTTCAATCAAATTGTAGAGGGGCATCAATAATCAAGGACTTGCTGTCCCCTTATTTTAAAATATGAAGAAAAATTTAGACTTACCTATAGTAGTGAGGTTCCTGTAAGTCTCCAGCATCACATCTTTATAGAGATTCTTCTGGGAAGGATCCAGCAAAGTCCACTCTTCCCAAGTGAAGTCAATATGCACGTCATCATAGGTCACTGAATTCTAAAATATCCCATACAGGTGTACAACAGAAAGCATGGTACTGATAACATTGTAAATGTGTACTTCTTTGACAGTATAGTCATATAATTCTGGCCCTCCCCACACTTATTTCATGACATAGCCATTATAATGTAATCACCAAGTCACTTTAGAAGGAAAATGGATAGAAGGTTCACCTCTGTAATTTTTACAAGAGAAAGGACTACTAACAAACACAGATAGACAAGTAAACAGATCAACAGTGCAGGGTACACATGAGAGAAATTATATGAGCAATTACTAACTACGAAAATGGAAAATAAGATGGACAAACTGGGTGTATTGGCTCATGACTTTAACCTCAGAACTCTGAAGGCAGAGGCAGGTATATCTGCCTCTGAGTTGAATGCCAGCCTAGTCTATGCAATCAGGTCCAGGACAGCCAGATGTACATATTAAGACCCTGTCTTTCATGCAGAAATCAGTCAAACAAGCAAAAATGAAAGAACTCACAGGTTTTCACTGAAGTTCCTACAAAGAGTTATGTATTCCTTCAAGTTCAATTTTCATCTTCAGAAACCTGAAGTGTCTCAACTAAAACTGTAACATCAATCATATTTTACTAAAAAAGTATGGTATGTTTACACAGTTACAAAAGGACAGATGAAAACATTAGCAATATAAATGTTGATTATAAATAATCAACACAGAGCAGGAGATAGCTTAGTAGTAAAGAGCTTCTGATCTCCTTGCATAAAGATGGGCTCAATTGCCAGTACTTACATGGGGGATCAAAACTATCCACTATTCCAGTTTCAGGGTTTCTGAAACCATCTTTGGATCACCCTGAGGACCAAGCACCCATGTGTTGCACATCACAACTGTTACTTACATGGTGTATATCGATGCATACAGGTAAAATATGCATATTCATTTAAAATTTCAAAACAAACAACAGGCAGGAATAAGGTCATGCCCTTGCAATCCAATGACCCAGAAGGCTCAGGCAGTATTAAGATATGGATACATGCCATCTTGAGAAACAGACTGAACCCTATGCCAAATTTTAAAATTCAAACTATGGGTGACCCTCACTACAAAATCATATGCCTGACATCTACTCAAACCTATATTCCAGGCCCATCGCCCAATAACAAAAATACAAAAGCAACTAGGAATTTGGGCCCACTGCTTAATCCCAGATCTTTGGAGTCAGAGTCAAAGGGATCTCTGAATTTGAGGCCAGCCTATGGTGATATTTTATTTGTGGTGAAATGTGATTTTATTTGTATGTTAATAAATAAAGTTGCCTGGAGATCGGAGATCAAAACGAGCCATAAGGAGAGTCAGGCGGTGGTAGCACACACCCTTAATCTGATCACATGGAAGGCAGAGTCTCTCTGTGGTCAAGACACAGCCAAGCATGGTGACATGAACCTTTAATCCCAGTACCAAACATAGAGACCTGGAGGTCTGTATAGACAGGCAGTGATGAGGAAGTCATGTGGTTGGGTTCAGAGTCAATAAGAAGGCAAAGCCGAAAGGAAATAAAAAGACAAGTCAGACATCAGAAGCTCTCTCGGGGGAAGCTGCTGCTGGTGGTAAGTTAAAGCTCGTCATGGCTCTTGTTCTGATCTCTTTGACTATTAACTCTGTATTTGGCTCTGTGTTTCTTATTTAATAACACTTTAATTTTGTCTACATTTGGTGCTCACGTGGCAAGAATTTATTAAAAAACCATTGGTGGCCTCACAGGCGAGGGGTTACAGGCCCCAGGCCTGGTCGGAGCTATGGATCCAGCTGACATGGTCAGAGCTGCACTCAATGGTAGCTATGAGCGGTTATATGCAGCTGGATCTGTTTGCGCCCATATCACCAACTCACATGGTCGGAGCTTAAGGAAGCCAGAGTTCAGGCCTGAATCATCACAAGCTGGAACATGCAGCTGGATGCTGTGGATATCACTCGATATAAATAAAGCACCAATTGGCCAGTGATCAGGCAGGAAGTATAGGTGGGACAAGGAGAGAGGAGAATTGAGGAAGGAGGAAGGAAAGGGAGACCGGCGGGAGCCACCGCCAAGACAAGGAAGATGTAAAGTACCGGTAAGCCACAAGCCACGTGGCAAAGTAAAGATTAATAGAAATGGGCTGAATATAAGAGTGAGAGCTAGACAATGATAGGCCTGAGCTAATGGCCAAGCAGTTTAAATAATGTAAGAGTCTGTGTGTTTGTTTTATAAGTGGGCTCTGGGACTGGCGGGACTTGGTGGTGGGAGCTGGAGAAAAATTCTCCAGCTACAAATGGCGCCCAACGGCTTGAGTTTCCACCTTAAACCTGAGAATATTTAATAACCAATTCTAAACAGAGCCAAAACCAGGTTCCTGCTTCATGTCTCATACGGCAGCTAGATGCTGCAAAACGTGGGTTTGAACTACTGGCAGGTTCCTGACCAGCAGTATGGCGGAAATAGTCTGCCAGCAGCACATTACGCTGTGTGGTAGATGTAGTCTTTACTAGTATATATATATATATATATATATATATATATATATATATATATACTAGTAAAGTTTGTATATATATATATATATACAAACAAGAGGTTTCTGGGCTACACGCTACTTTGATAAAAGCGTAGACCCATTATTTCTGAGAGTTACGGCTCCCAGAGCTGGCGGAAAACGGACCACCACCATGTTGGGAAACTGAAGTGGGCGGAGCCAGCAGCCACAGCCCTGTTTCAGTCTTAGAATGCTCTAGTTCAAAGCAATAGGTTCACAATAAGACTGATTCAGATGGAATAGTTTACAATGTGTGTAAAATGTACGTAGGCTTAAAAGAGAGAAAAAAAAAATATATACAGTTATATAAACAAATAGATAGTTTTTAAAAATAAAGTCTTTAAAGAAACATTAAAGGTAATAAGCCATGTAAAGATGGCTATCACACAGAGAATCTGGATTATGTTGTCTTTGATATTCGTAACTGAAGAAAAACATTTGATTGTAAAAGCTGTTGAGTTATGCCAAAATGTAAATTTTAAAGGTACCTTGACTTCAAAATTTGGATATAAGGATATGTTGCTTTGGAAAAGAGTCTCTGCTTTTGTTTCCACAGAAAGCCAGAGGCTATGGATTTTTTCCAGATTAAGATACATCAGGTTTGACCAGCCATGACCCCCTGAAAGGTCTCCAATGACACCATGACCCAGATGATCCAACATCCAAAATGGTTTCAGGCAACTGGCTCAGACGATACACCCTCATGCACTACTCCATAATCTTAAAATTTTCTTTGTGTCCCCATAAGATACAGCGCCCCCCCCCCCTCCAGCAGGAAGTAGTAAGAGAAGCTATGCCCAAATTCCCAAATATACCAAGCTGGCTTTAGAGATGGAATTGGCTCACTCCCCCTCTAAACCCAGACATATTGCTTAAAAAAAATGGTTAAAAGATTCTTGTGTCCCAAATCAGAAGAGCCCTCTGATGTGGGACGGAGAAAAACCAATATTTTTATTTAAAGCAGGTTGATTATAAATACAATCTCTTTCTGAAGAAAAAAAGGGGATAGTTTAGATATGATAGGATGAAAGGGTAGATTAAGGAACCTACTTTTAAAGAGTAACAACTTGTTTAAAATGTTTTACATTGCTATAGATTTTAGTTTATTGATACAAATTTAACCTTAATTTTGTTATACTGTATATATATTTCTATTCTTGTTTGAGGTATTATGTTTATGTAACTCATTTAAAATTGTAATGGATAATTAAAAAATAGATTAATAGTCATCTATGATAATCATATTTGTAGCCATGTTAGTTAAGTCTTCTAGGTATACATAGATATATTTCAGATAGATAGGTAGTTTTCAAACACTTCAAAGACCTACAGAATATGGCATTTAAAATGTTTTAAAAATTTAGACTTTCTGGACAGCGAGACATGTCTGCTCCTGACAGCACCGATTTACTTCAGAGAGGAATATGGGCATCGAAGACACTCCATATGGAGTTACCTTGACAAAAATAGCCATTTGGGCAAAAAACTGTTCTTGCCTGGACTGATTGATCAACTGGACATGCAGGACCCATAGAAAGGTGACCACTGAACTTTGCTTGACAAAATGGTCCTTCAGGTTCCTGCTTTGCAGAGGAAACTGCCAGACATTCTGCAGGACACAGAGAAAAGTGAATAAGAGACTCTAGGCCTGAGGGCTAAAGACAGATGCCCCAACTTTACAAGAGAACTTTGAATGACTGTCCAGGCTGTCAGCTGTCTCTGTCTACCCTACAAGACTCCCGAAAGTTGCTTGCATCCTTCTCCTATTTCTCAGGTAGTATTATATCCTTCTGAGGTCTTTGATATGGTTGAAGACTAGATACTTACAATTTTCCTTAGTTATGATAAAAGGTAAGTTAGATATAAAACCTTAAACTCACAAATATAAGATAGATATCTTTTATATTGTAACTATAATTCTTACTCGATAATTATTTTGTTATATGTAATATTACTATGTTGAAGTTAAACCCTTCCTTTTTGAAAAAGAAAAAAAAGGGGAAGTGCTGTGGATATCGCTCAATATAAATAAAGCACTGATTGGCCAGTGATCAGGCAGGAAGTATAGGTGGGACAAGGAGAGAGGAGAATTGAGGAAGGAGGAAGGAAAGGGAGACCGACTGGAGCCACCGCCAAGACAAGGAAGATGTAAAGTACCGGTAAGCCACAAGCCACGTGGCAAAGTAAAGATTAATAGATATGGGCTGAATATAAGAGTGAGAGCTAGACAATGATAGGCCTGAGCTAATGGCCAAGCAGTTTAAATAATGTAAGAGTCTGTGTGCTTGTTTTATAAGTGGGCTCTGGGACTGGCGGGACTTGGTGGTGGGAGCTGGAGAAAAATTCTCCAGCTCCAGCTGGATTTTAGCTTTTAGCTATTTTCTCTTCTCCTAGTAGTCTCTCTCTCTCTCTCTCTCTCTCTCTCTCTCTCTCTCTCTCTCTCTCTGCACAACCACACTAGGTAGTGAATACAATCCAACAACAATGCCCAACAATTTATAGGAGGAATGCTGATTACAAAGCAACATTCACAGTGGAAACAATCAGAATAATCAATGGGATTATGAAAAATTGTACACAGATTGATTTAATATGACTTCTATACTTAAAACAATTCTACAACAATCAAGAATGTGAACAATATTCGTGAAATAATACTGGAGATAAGGAGAAAAAGCCAAGAACAAAGGAAGGAAAATAAAGTCAACTATTAATCTAAAGATGAAACGAAACTTAGCCAGGAAAAGTATGATCTTGACCAATGTTACCCTGCTACCTATGATTCTATGTGTATAGAAGTTATACAAACATAGAGTTCATACCTTTCATGAAATTAACACAAAATGACCCTTAAATTGTTGTTTCTGACCCCCCAGCTACTGATACTTTTTCTACATACCGGGTCCCCATGCTCTAGAGCTCTCTCTGCAAATGGAGGTGATTACCTGCTGTGGCTCTGTAGCCCTTATGCCTTCTTTTGGTTTCAGGTAAACAAAGCCCCACTGATGCCCAATCTCAAAATGACAGTAGAATAATTTAAAGTTGGCTTCCTGTCACGTGGATTATGGTAAAAGATGTGGATTCTGCCCTATCTACGTGCTCAACAAGATGCACACCTAAGAAACCTCTGCAGCTGGGAAATTCCTTTTGTCCCTTGGAAGTAAATGACACTGAAGCACACCATTGCAGCTGATGGTGGCAGAAAGTTAGATGCTTTCTAATCATGTATTGCTGAATGACAATCCACATCACCATCTTCCTACCAGTTTCTAAACTATTTGAAACATTTATAAGACAATCTTGAAAGTAAAATGTAATAATCAGAAGTTCTAGAAACCAGATTTTCAGTTTTCCAATCTGTCTTCCCACTGCACACCAAAAACATACCTGTGTGTGCACACTGGACAGTGATATTACAAGCATCATATCCAAACAGCCAGGACTGCAGTTTCTCTCCCTATCCAGGAAATCTATACACAGGTAGGCTCAGAGGACAAGGATGACTGCCCAGGTCACCACATGGGTGAGCAGAACCACAGTCTGGTTCATGGTCCATCCAAACCCCAGCAGAAATGTCAGCTCAGCAGACCTTCTCTGAACACCCTACACTCACCATGGTATAGCTTGTCTTCTTCTTTGCAATTCACTACAACAGACGCAGAAGAGAAGCCTAGAAAGAACCCACAAGCTACCTGCCACTAGTCTCATTGCTAAGACTTCCCAGAGTCCGTGAAAGGCTAGGGCCACCCATCTGGGCCTCAGAATATTAGCAGGTACCCTGCTGGTTGATCGGAGATCAAATGACTCCGACAACACAGTCCTTCCAGCTCTACACTTCAACTCAATAGATAGGACCCTAGTCTAGAAAGAATGTATTTTAGTAGATATTCTTCAACTCTGCTAGAGTGCATCCTGTTCCTCATCCAAAGCAAAGTATTCTTTGTGTGCACATTCCTGTACACACTCAATGTGGAGTGCAGCCAACCCATTGCCTCCTAGCTGGGAGTCCTGCAACCAAACACAGGTCACATTTACACAGTCCTGTTACTGTGTAGCTGTTGTTACAGAAGAACAGGCCATGAACTAGAAAAAGATGAGGGCTCATGGTGGGGCTTGGAGACAGGAAAGAGAATGTGGATATGATGTAGTTATAATCTCAAAAAATATTTTGAAAATTTTAAACAGGCTTTTTGGCCATGTGCTCCAGAGTCTAGCAATCTGTATTAGAGCACATCAAAGATTTCTCAAGCTTTTTATCTAAGGGGCTACATAAAAAACCAGAAAAATAATAGTCCTGTTAAGCAGGGCCACATTTGACCTAGATTTATCTTGACTGAACAACTGTAAATATAGCAATTTGGTTTCATGATAAAGTCAGTCTTTTATCCAGATTCTTGATTGCCCTTGTCTGTGGAGCCCAAGAAATGGCCAATCAGGACATTTATGGAGCATCTAAAATTGATTTCCTAATTCTACATTGCTAATCTCAAGTAATGTTGAAGTACAAAAGCTCTCAACAACCATCCTGCCTCTCCCTTTCTGCACTGTGACTCTACCAGCTTTAAAGTTGGTCTATGCACTCAATTCTTGCACAGGTCCCTCTTCATTTATAAGTCCTCGCTAAAAGCTACAGAGATTGGAGGTCACTCATTAACTGGTTTAGTTTTCCTTCTCACTGATCAGTCAAGGCAAAGATGGAAGATGTTGTGGGACTGTCTACCCAGCACTGGGCAGCAGAGGCAGGATTAGGTGTTCAAAGCAATTCTCATTTACACAGAATGAGGCAAGACTCGATTACCTAGCAGGAGGCAATGATGTTACAAGCTCATGGTTTCCCATGCCCAGATGGCAAAGCCTTCACCTCCATAGGGAATCCATATTCAACAAAGCTCAGAGGCCAAGGGACACTACACAGGTCACCACAGGGACAAACAGAACCCCATTCTGGCTCATGGTCCATCCCAGACCAAGCAGCTTTGACAGCTCAGCCAACCTGCTCTTCCTGGTCTAGGGACGGTGGCCTGCAAACTCATCATGGTATGGCTTGTGGTCTTCCTTACAGCTCCCTACAGCAGAACAAGAAAAGAATTCTGAAAAGAACCTGTAAACTACCTCCTATTGGGACTCCTGATTGCTAAGCCTTCTCAGAGTCCCTCATTAGCTAGGACCACCCAGCTGGGCTTCAGGACACTAGCAGTTTAGCTACTGGGTAAACAGAGATCTAATGACTCAGAGAGCAAAACCTTTCCAAGCTTGGTCCTTCCACACTATGGCTGGTTGCACAGGACCCTAATCTGAAAATTTTGTAGTTTAGAAAAGCCTTCTAACCTCCCAGAACCCTTTCTGTTCCTCTTCCAAGGCACAGGGTCCTATGTGTGCACATTCCATTACACACTCAATGTCCAGTGTAGCCAGCCCTGTACTTCATAGCTGTGAGGTCCTTCAACCAAACAAACACAGGTCACATTTAAAAACTATCTGTAGTTAAACAAAAAGAGGCCATGGATTAAAACACAAGGGTCTATGGGAGGGGTTGGAGGCAGGAAGTAATACAGTAGAAGTAAAATACTTATAATCCCAAATAATTCTGGTAAAAAGTTGCAACAGGCTTTATGGCCATGTGCTCCAGAGAGTATGGGTTTGTATTAGAGCACACCAAGTACTACTCACATCATTTCTCTCTGGGTATATTTCTTAAACCTGGAATACACACTCATATTAGGCAGGGACACATCATTTTATCAGGTTCTTCTACTTAGGTTGAACTGGTATAACTACAGTCATTTGGTTTTATGAAAATTCAGTTCTGGGGGCTGGAGAGATGGCTCAGAGGATAAGAGTACTGGCTGTTCTTTCAAAGGTCCTGGTCCTCAGTTCAATTCCCAGCAACTACATGGTGGCTCCTAACTATATGTAATGAGGTCTGGTGTCCTCTTCTGGTGTGCAGATAGAACACTGTATACATAATAAATAAATAAATCTTAAAAAGAAAGAAAGGAAGGAAGGAAGAAAGAAAGAAAATTTAGTTTTTTATCCAGAGTCTAGACAGCCTGGTCTATGGACTCAAGAAATGGCTGGTCAAAACATTTATTGATCATCTAAAATGGATTACCTAATTACTCATTGCTAATGTCAACTACAGTCATAGCAGGAAAGCTTTCATGCTCTTTCTTGCCCATTCCTTTCTCTGTTGTGACTACACCTGCTTTACAGTAGGCCAGTGAACTCAACTCTTACACAGGCTTTATTTGTAAATTCACAACAAAATCTACAGGAGTTCAAGGATGCTCATTCTCTGCTCTATTTTTGACTTCCACAAACCAGTCAAGGTCCAGTTGGGAAGGAGTTTCAGGACTGTCTTTCCACCACTGGGCAGCAGAGGCAAGAGTAGGTGTTTAAAGCAATTCTCATTAATATAGTGTGAGGCAAGCCTGAACTACAAGAGACACTTATTTAAACCTGTGGGTCTCAACCTACCTAATGCTGTGACCCTTTAATACACTTCCTCATGATGTGATAAACCCCCAAATATAAAATGATTTTTGCTCCAAGTTCATAATTATATTTTTGCTACTGCTAGGAATTAAAGTATAGATATCTGTCTGTGCTTTCTGAAGGTCCTGTGAGAGTGTCATTTGATCTTCCAAAGGGAGCCATGATCCCCAATGTTGGGGACCACTGCTCTAAACTGATATAAACAAATAGATTAAAAAAATAAAGAGTATTAAGGAAAAAATGGAATGAAATTCTGAAACTGGGAAACATTGATAAATAGAAAAAAATTACAATAATACATTTAAAGAATGAATTTTTAAAATGATGCAAAAAAATGGAATGAAATTCTGAAACTGGGAAACATTCATAAATAGAATAAATTACAGTAATGCATTTAAAGAAAATATATTTTAAAATTATACCAATAATTGATGTTTTATAATGATAAAAATAATTGGAAGGGCAATTAGGTATACTGATGATGAAAGGGAGGAGGTAATACCCTGGTAGAGAGAATACCATTAATAAGAGACTTTATGACTTTGTTCCATGTAAAGTGTTAGCTACTGAGTGTTGCAAGCTAATGCATGGAATTACAGCCAATGACTTGATTCTCAAACATCTGAGTGAACTGTGTCAGCCAGGATTGCACACGTCTACATAGGAGAGTTCCCTAATTGGAAATGCAATACATAGTAATCCAGGCTATCTTCCCAAAACTGTATGCCCACCAATTCAGTCTGTCCTCATTTACATGGAAGTAAATAGTACATGCAGCAAAATTACAGAGAGTCACTCACCTGCCCCATCAGTCTTCTTTGTAATGGAGACCCCTGCAGCTAGCTCACTGCCTTCAACTTCAATCTGTGACCAAGCTATTGTCTAGTCTGTTTCCCCCTGCAGTGTACAGAGTACACTGTTCCTCTACTTCTGGTCTGAGGGGAGAAGCCATGCCCCATACACAAATCCTTTCCCTGTTCTGAAATGGACAGTCCATTATGTGACTCAATCTGGCAACTTTAGAACTCTGTGGTGCTGTAGATGTAAAATACAAGATTTAGTGTGATTTGTCAGGATGACAACAACGGCAATGTCCTGTGGGGCTACATACAGGGTTCAAGACCACATCAATCAGCATGGAAGACCTCGACTCAAAACTATTTTTAAAAAGCCTGGAGAGGCCCCTGTTCTAGAATTAATATACCTTTACGGCACACCAGGACTTAATGTTGGTTGTGACCATGCAATGTTCACTTTAGCAGCATTTAGAGTCTGTTTTTTGAATGAGTGGATGGGCCTTTGTGCTGGTTGGAAATCAGGGCTGTCTCCTTTGTTATGGGAATGTAACTGGTTAATCCTGGGGAACAAACAATTACACCTTATCATACTAATTTCTAACCGCCATGGTTAGCATACTACTTATCTTTGTGGTATTTGTGATGCAGTCATCCTTTACCTAAATTCTATTGTGAATTAATGTCTCCTAAGAACTGGTAAAACCTTGTACCATCAAGTTCCACTTTACACATGAGATACTGTTTACAAACTCCACAGAATTAACTCCAGATGGATCCGAAACTTAAATGTGAAGAGTTCACATTGCACTACTTTTGGAAGATAGGAGAGGGACCGGGGCTCTCTGAGTTTGGCAAATCGGTGTTTTATAGCAACAACATAAGCACTAAGGCTGTCCCCATTTCACAGTGATGTCAACAACAAGGTTATTTCAAACCACAGTCCCACTCCCAATGCTCTGCACAGATGCAGACAGCAGAGTGAACTTGCACACAGGCTGCCAGCCAGCTCAGGAATTGCAAAGGCCCTGCAGGACAGGCAAGAACCTGCGGAACTCTCCATCCAGCTGCTGACTCCCACCCAGCCAGGGGAGGACCCACCACACTGGCTCCTATGACTCAACTGGCCACTCCTCCCAGTTTGGGGATAGGCCCCTAGCTCACCATATCGTGGTTTTCCAGCTGGCCCATGCTCTCTGCTCAGCTCCCTGCAGCAGCACTCTCATCACAGCACACAAAACCACTGGCGCCAGCTTCTCTTCAAAGCCAAGCCTGAAGCTGGTCACCGGAAGGACCCTGTACAAATTCTGACTGGCAGGTCGCCTGGAGGGCCTGATTGGCTAGTGAGGCCTGAGTGACAAGAGCACCTCCCATAGGGTTACACTGTGCTTAAAGATACAGCACAAAGATTCCTGATCCTGCCTTCCACCCCAGACCCAGACCTTCTCTGAACCAGCAGAGAGATGCATTTCAATGGCACCTGCCCCTGGCTCTAATGCTCTCTTCCTGCCCTCCATAAGCCCTTCCCCTTCATCCTCCTGGACACAATGTGGACAGCTAGCTTGTACACCCCACAATACTACTATGTGGACTGGAGTAATTACCTGTCACACAGGAGGATGGATACCCAGAATATTAACAACTAAAGAGAGATTTAAGCACACAAAAGGAGATGTTTGTTAGGTGGCTTCACGCTGAGTTCAGGTGAATTCAATGTACCTTTTATCTGCTTCTCACAGGGACTTCAGACAACTAGGAAAGGAAAGCAGGAACTACATCACAAAAAAGATAATAGGTCTTTCTCCCATTAGAAAGCTGGATGATGGCTCCATTGCTTAAGGAGTTTTATTCATGAAGTTCATAGCAAAGTGTTGGCAAATTAAATAATAATAAAGAGTAGTCTTCCTGGATGGTTGAATACTTAGGGAATAATGGAGCAAGGAAGAATGCATTTGTGAGAACTGTTGTTAGCCAGCACATTTTCCTCAGTGGTCAAGTGAAAAAAAAAAACATAATTGTATTGTTCAAACTTCTCTACATGAACAAAACTGGTAGATTGAATCTCTCCATGTATGTACAAAGTTGATTTAATAGACTGTCTTATAAGCTGTAGTCCAGGTAGTCCAACAATGTCTGCCTACCAATGGAAATTTGAAGAGTCCAGTAGTTGTTCAGTTCATGAGACTAGATATTTCAGTTGCTCTTCAGTATACACCAAAATACCAAGGAAGTAGGCTGTAATGATAGTAAAGGAATGAACTTGGTCATCAGTGCTAGGGCAAGGAAGGAGAGAGAGAGAGAGAGAGAGAGAGAGAGACAGAGAGAGAGAGAGAGAGAGAGAGACAGAGAGAGACAGAGAGAGACAGAGAGAGAGAGACAGAGAGAGACAGAGAGAGAGAGAGACAGAGAGAGAGAGAGAGACAGAGAGACAGAGAGAGAAAGACAGAGACAGAGACAGAGAGAGGTTCCTCCTTTAATATGCTTTATATATGTAAGCTACAAAAGGAGCTGCAATCCGTATTGAAGGTCGATCTTAAACTTCCGTTGATTTTTTTTTCTACCGAGTTCATTCCTCATGAACTGAACTACTACTACTGGACTCTTCAAATTTCCATTGGTAGGCAGATATTGTTGGAATACCTGGAACACAGCTTGTAATACATTCTGTTAAATCAATTTTGTACATACATGGAGAGATTCAATTTACCAGTTTTGTTCATATAGAGAAGCTTGAATAATAAAGTTGTGTTTTGGGTTTTTTTTTTGTTTTGTTTTTTACTTGCTCACTGAGGAAGATGTGCTGGCTAACAATGGTGCTCATAAATGGATTCTTCCTGGTTCCATTATTCCCTAAGTATTCAACTTTCCATGAAGACTACTCCTTATTGCTTTCAATTTACCAACACTTTGCTCTGAACTTCACAAATAAAACTCCTTAAGCAATGGAGCCATCATCCAGCTTTCTAATGGGAGAAAGACCTATTATCTTTTTTGTGATGTAGTTCCTGCTTTCCTTTCCTAGTTGTCTGAAGTCCCTGTGAGAAGCAGATAAAAAGTACATTGAATTCACCTGAACTCAGCGTGAAGCCACCTAACAAACATCTCCTTTTGTGTGCTTAAATCTCTCTTTAGTTGTTAATATTCTGGGTATCCATCCTCCTGTGTGACAGGGAATTACTCCAGTCCACATAGTAGTATTGTGGGGTGTACAAGCTAGCTGTCCACATTGTGTCCAGGAGGATGAAGGGGAAGGGCTTATGGAGGGCAGGAAGAGAGCATTAGAGCCAGGGGCAGGTGCCATTGAAATGCATCTCTCTGCTGGTTCAGAGAAGGTCTGGGTCTGGGGTGGAAGGCAGGATCAGGAATCTTTGTGCTGTATCTTTAAGCACAGTGTAACCCTATGGGAGGTGCTCTTGTCACTCAGGCCTCACTAGCCAATCAGGCCCTCCAGGCGACCTGCCAGTCAGAATTTGTACAGGGTCCTTCCGGTGACCAGCTTCAGGCTTGGCTTTGAAGAGAAGCTGGCGCCAGTGGTTTTGTGTGCTGTGATGAGAGTGCTGCTGCAGGGAGCTGAGCAGAGAGCATGGGCCAGCTGGAAAACCACGATATGGTGAGCTAGGGGCCTATCCCCAAACTGGGAGGAGTGGCCAGTTGAGTCATAGGAGCCAGTGTGGTGGGTCCTCCCCTGGCTGGGTGGGAGTCAGCAGCTGGATGGAGAGTTCCGCAGGTTCTTGCCTGTCCTGCAGGGCCTTTGCAATTCCTGAGCTGGCTGGCAGCCTGTGTGCAAGTTCACTCTGCTGTCTGCATCTGTGCAGAGCATTGGGAGTGGGACTGTGGTTTGAAATAACCTTGTTGTTGACATCACTGTGAAATGGGGACAGCCTTAGTGCTTATGTTGTTGCTATAAAACACCGATTTGCCAAACTCAGAGAGCCCCGGTCCCTCTCCTATCTTCCAAAAGTAGTGCAATGTGAACTCTTCACATTTAAGTTTCGGATCCATCTGGAGTTAATTCTGTGGAGTTTGTAAACAGTATCTCATGTGTAAAGTGGAACTTGATGGTACAAGGTTTTACCAGTTCTTAGGAGACATTAATTCACAATAGAATTTAGGTAAAGGATGACTGCATCACAAATACCACAAAGATAAGTAGTATGCTAACCATGGCGGTTAGAAATTAGTATGATAAGGTGTAATTGTTTGTTCCCCAGGATTAACCAGTTACATTCCCATAACAAAGGAGACAGCCCTGATTTCCAACCAGCACAAAGGCCCATCCACTCATTCAAAAAACAGACTCTAAATGCTGCTAAAGTGAACATTGCATGGTCACAACCAACATTAAGTCCTGGTGTGCCATAAAGGTATATTAATTCTAGAACAGCGGCCTCTCCAGACTTTTTGGAAAGCAGTTTTGAGTCAAGGTCTTCCATGTTGATTGAGGTAGACTTGAACCCTGTAATGCCGTTGTTGTCATCCTGACTAACCACCCTAAATCTTGTATTTTACATCTGCAGCACCACAGAGTTCTAAAGTTGCCAGATTGAGTCACATAATGGACTGTCCATTTCAGTACAGGGAAAGGATTTGTGTATGGGTCATGGCTTTAGCCTTCAGACCAGAAGAAGAGGAACAGTGTACTCTGTACACTGCAGGGGGAAACAGACTAGACAATAGCTTGGTCACAGATTGAAGTTGAAGGCAGTGAGCTAGCTGCAGGGGTCTCCATTACAAAGAAGACTGATGGGGCAGGTGAATGACTTTCTCTGTAATTTTGCTGCATGTACTATTTCCTTCCATGTAAATGAAGACTGACTGAATTGGTGGACATACAGTTTTGGGAAGATAGCCTGAATTACTATGTATTGCATTTCCAATTAGGGAACTCTCCTTATGTAGACATATGCAATCCTGGCTGACACAGTTCACTCAGATGTTTGAGAATCAAGTCATTGGCTGTAATTCCATGCATTAGCTTGCAACACTCAGTAGCTAACACTTTACATGGAACAAAGTCATAAAGTCTCTTATTAATGGTATTCTCTCTACCAGGATATTACCTCCTCCCTTTCATCATCAGTATACCTAATTGCCCTTCCAATTATTTTTATCATTATAAAACATCAATTATTGGTATAATTTTAAAATATATTTTCTTTAAATGCATTACTGTAATTTATTCTATTTATGAATGTTTCCCAGTTTCAGAATTTCATTCCATTTTTTCCTTAATGCTCTTTATTTTTTTAATCTCTTTGTTTATATCAGTTTAGAGCAGTGGTTCTCAACACTCAAGATCATGGCTCCCTTTGGGAGATCAAATGACCCTATCGCAGGACTGGCCTAAGACATCAGAAAGCATAGACAGTTAATTATATTTTAATTCCTGACATTATCAAAAATATAGTTATGAACTAGCAGTGAGAATAGTTTTATAGTTGGGGGGTCAGCACATCACGAGGAACTGTATTCAAGGTTCACATATCTGTGGTTTTGCTGCTTAAGTACTGGATATAAATCATATAGTGGCTTTAGATCTTGAAAACCTTCTCATATACAATAATATATATTGTCTCTTTTTCCTAATTAGCATGAACTGTCAACATGACACAGCCTAGAGTCATCTGAGGGAACATCAATTTAGGGTGTGCCTAGATCAGAATATCTGATTACTATCTCTGAGAGAGATTGTGTTGATTACGATTGATGTTTGAAACTCTTCCACTGAGTTGTCAATATCTCTAACCAAGTGGGCCTGGACTGGACAAGAGAACTAGTTTAGCACAAGAAAGACAGTGGCAAAGCAAGAGACCAAGCTAGGTAGCAATGTTTCCTCATGTTCTGTCTTCATTTATTAGCTTGAGATTTTATCCTATGCTGCCACAAGGATGGACTGTGATCTATGGTATCAATCAAAGAATTCTGTTCATTACCTTTTGGTAAGATAATTTAATCACAGCAACAGAGAAGAAAGTTGGAACAAAAAAATGATACCTCAAATGTGATTTTTTTCTTGCTGCAAAGGACTTGAAAGTCTTCGGCCTGCCCTTACAATCCTGAATGGAATTGTTTTGTTGTTTTATTATCTAGCCCAGGGAGGCCACTGATTCATGGCAGCTCTCCTGTCAGGTTGAGAGTGCTGAGGTTATAAGTCATGTACTTCTATCAATTGTAAAAAGTTAGTGTTAGATCAGAAGAGCTACGTTTACTGCTTCTTGTAGACTTGGACTTGAAAGTGGTTCAGCCAATGAAAGCTGTATAACAGAGTCTGTGGAGACTGAGGGCTTTTGGTCATATCCCTTGTGCCATTCACACACTTGAGGGGGAGCATGATATGGGGAATTTTAAAACAAAAACTCAACAAATGTGGAGTAATGGTAACTAAATTTGGCTAAATTTGGAGATAGAGCCTAGAAAATGGAATTTTAAATAAAAATGATTTAATGTTGGAATTTGTAATTCCCTTCCCAAGAGTAGTACAGGTCCACAGTGGGCTGGGCCCTACCTTATAAATCATTAATCAAGAAAACACCCTATACTAGAGGTTCCTCTTCCCAAGTAATGCTGGCTTATGTCATGTTGAAGAAAAGCCAAACAGGACAAGGACTATGAGTTAAGAGCAAGCTTAGGCTGTGTAGTGAAAATGAAAGCAAACAAAATATCAAAATAAACAAATAAATCCTCACAATTAGTTTATCTTTTAGAATTACTCTTTTCAAGTAATTTGACCCTCTTTCCAAGACCCTGCAATATTTGATTACGAAAGCATCTAGTATCTAGTATGTCTGTATTTTGTTAAGTTTGGCTTTTAACCAAGCTTGATGAGTTTGTTCAGAGGTATAAAAAAGAGAAGGATGCTTTGGATGTGGGTAGTATCTGCTCCAGCTATCATACACTTTGATCTTTATTTCTAAATCATATCTCAGGATGACACCAGAGAAATGACACCCAAAGTTGTCCTCTTGCCCACTCATAAACATTGCCCACCATACACAATTTGCATCTTTATATGAATACGCATGCAAAATACAAAGAAAAATTAAAAATTAGGAATACTGAGGAGTGAAAATGTCTAGGAGTTCATTAATATGACTTTTTTTTGTTCACTAGAGAGCAAGTTGAATATTGGAACTTAAATGGGCTGATTAAAGTCTTACGGAGGCCTCTGAATAAGATTCAGAAAAGCCATTTAAGGTAAGAGAGTTTGTAAGAAGGATTGAGTGTAAATTAATGGAGCAGATATTAGGAGTAATGTCTATAGGGTACCAGAAAATGTGCTATCATTAGGGGAATGAAAGAACAAACACACACAACTTGTCTTGTTATTTAAATGCATGTGCTCAATATTCTACAGTTTGCACACACACATTTTACACAGTTTATTTTTGGAGGCCTAGGACAGCTATGGGACATTGTTTCCTTCTTACATATGGGTCTTATGGATCAAACTAATCTTTAGCCTTAGTTTGTAGATGTAACCAACCTTCTTATTAAATAGGAAACACAGAACCAATGCAAAGAAGAAAGCCAAGAGGTCAGAGCTAAGAGCTAAAACCTTACCCTTCCTCCTGCGGTGGTCCTACCTCTCCGAACCAGAGCTACCCCTGTGTTAAAGTCTTTATATAGAGTTCCTGTCCTGCCTTCTCATTGGTTGTTAACCCAACCACATGACCGCCTCCTCACGGCCTGTCTGTATAAGCCTCCAGGTTTTCCATGATTGGTATTAAGATTAAAGGCATGTGTATCCAATAATGGCTGTATCCCTGAACACACAGAGACTTACCCAGCTCTGCCTACCAAGTGCTAGAATTACAAGCGTATGCCACCACTGCCCTGCTTTCCTATGGCTTGCTAATAGCTCTGACCCCCGGGCAACTTTATTTATTAACATAAAAATAACATTTTAATACAAATAAAATATCACCATATTTCCCCTTTTCTATTTTAATAAAAAGAAAAAAGTTATAACTAACAAAAGAAAAAATATATACAAAAGTACAATAACTATATACAATATATACAAGTAATAAATACCTGAACAATGTCTAGTCCATTTTATTTGACAAATTCAAAGAAAATAATTTCATTATCTATCCTATTTTGGTAAGTCCAAAATGTATCTAATTCACTTTCTATCCTAATTAATCTTCAACTATAACTAACTAACCTTCAACTATAACTGACTAATCTTCAACTCCCTCAGAGACCCAAAAAATTGTGAGTTGACAGAAACAGCCAGCTGCCTGGACAATCATCTGAGGTTTCTCCGCAGTGTTGGGGCATCATCTTCAGTGTATTTTACAGACTCATTTGTGAAGTAGGATGTACACAAGGTCAACAGTTCGACCTCACATTGGGTGAGAGCAGTCCATGTACCAGAAACACCTGAATCCCACTAGTGTCATGTCATGATTCAGGATTTTAAATTCTGGAAATTGTTGATGGTTTTTTAATTCAGCTGTCCATTCTTCTTGGCTGTGTATATATGGCTTCATCTCAGCATCCCATTCTTCTCCACATCCCTCTATCAAATGCCAGTCTACTATTGAGAGGCGTGAGCTTAGTTACTCTTCAAGAATAACTGTTTCAGCTGCTGTTCCATTGCACATCAGAGGCCATCGGTCCACTGCCTGTTCAACTGCCTTCGAAGAAAAGGGCACTGTACCTTTTCCGAATTGCGAAGGCCACTTCAGGGATGGTGCCATATTGTCCTGGCCTCAGAAGATGCCTTTTGATAAAGCCATAACCACACTTGTTTTGGCAAGAATCGGTAGTCCTTTGTTTCATGTCCTGTCTGTCCATTTTCTCAGCAGTTGATTCGAGGATACTTCGTTGTCCAGTGGCTAACTTTTGCCACAATGAAAGTTAACTTCATATGCAGTTTCTTCAATGCCCATATTTTCTCTGAAGTAGATTGGTACTGCCAGGAGCCAACATGTCTCAAAAAAGAAAAATTTTCTAAGTTATTAAAACATTTTAAATGCCATATTCTGTAGATCTCTGAAGGTTTTGAAGATGACCTGTCTAAAATATATCTGCTCAGTTTTTAAAACATATCTAATATGACTACAAGTTCCATTGTAATGTCTAACTACTAACTTTCATTTCTTTATATCCTAATAGTTGGTAATAATAACATTCAAGGATCAGAAAATTGCATTACATTGTTAAATGAACAGTACAATTAGAAATATACATAAAGCATTTTCTAACAATATCAATTTCAATATATATAATTTGTATGCAATATAAACCAATCCAATCCAATGTAAAGTATTTAAAACTAGTAATTGTCTTTTTCTTCTTCTTTCTTTTTTTTTTTAAACAAGAACCTTAAATCTAATATCCTTTGCTTAGACTTTTTCCTAATCCTTGACAACAACTTGTAACCAACCCCCCTAATCAATGAAAATTATCCCAGACCCAAAACCCATTAAAAGATCAAAAAAACCAACCACCCCACACCACCTCTTTGGGAATGTGGGCGTCGTATTCTTGAAATTGCTTCCTGCTGGGTATGGGCGAAGGTATCTTTATCCTGAAAGAAAAAATTTTAGGTTAATTGTCAAATTCTAGGAAAGGTAAATATATCCTTCATTATCCAGTCTGTGTATAATGCCAAAATTCAGGGTTTATCTCAAATCCTTATTCAAGTAGTCTTTGAGACTGGATCATCTCAGCTAGCTCTCTGAAAATTGCTCTGAGCACTTTGTAGTTCAAAGCTGATCTGTAGATGATGTTTGTCAGCTTAGTGATGTTATTATTATCCACGTGGAATTGTTGTTGTTGTGGGGCCCCATCTTCTTCCTGGAGACTTCAGTTGATGTTAGGCCTGACCGTGATTTCCTGCAAAAAACTGATAAGAGACTCGAACACAAAGACTATATATGCAACTTTTTAGAATTAGTTAGTACTCTATATGACCATTTATATCTTAACAAAGTTTAAAATGTATATATATATCTATATATATTAATCTTGTAAATTTTATAAATATAAAATTCATACTTTAAGAAAAATTTAAAGAATCAGAATAGAATCAAAGAGTTGAGATTAGTAATAGAATAGTCCCTTAATGAATTTGGCTTTTCTCCTGTCCCATAGCAGAAGATGGCTCTTTTCTTCTGGCATGATACAGGGAGTTTGCATTTTCCTTTTAACAACATGCTTGAGTTTAAAGAAGGAGAGAGCCATTCTCCAACTCCAAAGTCAGCTTTAAATTTTAATTGAACTGGGACTATTAGAAGTTTAATAGTGTTAAATCTTTAAAGAAAAGCAGAACAAACATTTAGGAAGACATAAATTTTTTTTTAGATAACATACCTATACGCCATTTCACTCTGTTTTTTAGGATAGATGATTTGTCCCTTTTATTCAGTTGTCTCATTTGTCCAGTGTTCTTCAAATTCCTTAACCTTCATTCTCCTAAAAGATAAAAACAAAAACCTTTCCCCAAGGTTTTTTGGGGATGTTCCTTTTCGACAAGTTATTTGATTAAATGAAAAGGCATGTGTTACTGGTGTAAGTTAGTTTAAATTGGATGTTTACGATAGTTGATGAACTATCACCTCCTCTAATTAAGAGGTCTCTCTTGTTCAAATTGAACCTTTATCAATTTTGATGGTACCCACAGCTTATCTTCTCCTGTAGAAATAAAAGCAAAACCTCATCCCCAATGTAACACATATCCTGGTTTCCATTCTGAGATCAGCACATCCTTAAAGTATATAGGTTGATTTAATTCTGTAGTTTTTTCTATTATCCAATATCTCTCTGCAGCTGTTGTTCCTTTCTCATTGGCATTGAGAAAATTCAAAGTTAATAGAGCATTATGTAGTCTATTTCTGGGGGTTTTTGTTACTCCTTTTTGTTTATTTAGCATATCCTTTAGAGTTCTGTTTGATCTTTCTATAACTGCTTGACCTGTAGGATTATGTGATATACCTGTAACATGGTTTATATTATAATAAGCAAAAAAACTGTTTCATTTTAACAGAGACATATGATGGAGCATTATCAGTTTTGATTTGTGCAGGTATACCCATAATGGCCATAACTTCTAGCAAATGAGTGATTACAGAATCAGCTTTTTCAGAACTCAAAGAAGTTGCCCATTGAAATCCTGAATAAGTATCGATAGTGTGGTGTACATATTTCAGTTTTCCAAATTCTGCAAAGTGGAACACATCCATCTGCCAGATTTCATTCCTCTGAGTACCCTTTGGGTTACATTCTGCTGGTAATGGCGTTTGATTGTAGAAGGAACAAGTAGGACATTTCTTTACTATTTCTTTGGCTTGTTGCCAGGTTATGGAAAATTCCTTTTTTAAACCTTTACTATTGACATGATGTTTTTTATGAAATTCTGAGGCCTCCAGCACATTTCCTATCAATAATTTATGAATCTCATCATTGCCTTGTGCTAGAGGGCCTGGCAGACCAGTATGGGATCGGATGTGAGTTATATATAAAGGATGACTCCTTTTTCTGATTGTATCTTGCAATTGAATAAATAATGAAGTTAATTCTGAAGCATCGTGGATAAATTCTGCAGTCTCAATATGTAATACTACTCTTTCAGCATAGTGAGAGTCATTTACTATATTGAGAGGTTCTGAAAATTCCATTAATACCAACAGAATAGCATACAATTCTGATTTTTGAACTGAATTATAAGGACTTTGAACCACTTTACTTAAATTTTCTGATTTGTAACCTGCCTTTCCTTGTTTGTTGGCATCTATATAAAATGTACGAACTCCAGATATGGGTTTTTTTCCTCACAATTCGAGGCAAGATCCAATCAGCTCTCTTTATAAGATCAATTTTACTGCTTTTGGGATATTTGCTGTTAATTTCTCCCAAAAAATTACTACAAGCTTTTTGCCAAGCTTCCTTTTCTATCCATAATTTTTCAATGTCCTCCTTAGTTAAAGGTATGACAATTTCTGCTGGGTCTATTCCTGCTAATTGACGAAGTCTCAATTTTCCTTTCCAAATCAAGTCAGAGATTTTTTCCCCATAAGTTTTTAATTTTTTATTTCGTTTATTTGGTAAAAATATCCATTCCAATATAATAGCTTCCCTTTGCATTAATATTCCTGTTGGGGAATGCCTAGAAGGTAAAATAACCAAAATGCAATCCAACTTTGGATCAATACGATCTTCGTGCCCTTCATGTATTTTCTTTTCTA